ATAATCGATCATCCTGGATGAACACATGTTCATCTGTACGATCGTCTTGTCAAAAAGCCTGTTTAAAAGGATGCTTTGTAACTTGCATGATTATGAAAAGTCATTTCATTTCGAACAGATTTGTTCATATAAACAAAATTTATTTTGTCATGTACAAACCATAAATCGTACAGTACGATTCCTTTTTATACGTACGAAAGATCATTTTTCTTTAAATAGGAGGGCTTTAAAATTCATTTTCATTCACTAAAATAGCCTCTTCTAATCCTTCTCATCTTAGCAATGGCCAATTCTAGCAAGTGGGGTAGAATCCCTAAGGGATCGTCTTCCAGGAGTAGAGGCGTCAACTTTCTATTTAGGGCAAATGAGGATTCTTTCCTTAGGTTTATTTCTGCCAAAATTACTCCTAAAATCCTACTTCAAGAGGATATCCACTTTCAAGTGATGCCTCTTTTCGCACCACTCAATTTGCCTTTATCCTGACTATGATTCACGCCTACAACAAAGAAACCTTTCACTATTTTCTGGCAAACATGTCTTTTAGTTTGGATGAGAGTAGGATCAGATTTTATGTTTTTAAGAAAAATGTAGAAATCACAAAGAAAGATTTGGGAACCATTTTGCATTTAAGAACTCAAGGAGTTAGAGTCCACATAATGACTCCTATATCTGATTTTGACTGGACCAAATTAAACAGTTATTAGAGGGATTGAACAAGTAAGTCATTTGCTTAGGGTCTATACCTTAAACCAAAATATAAGGGTCATTCAGTATGTCCTTAGAACTTCTATTATTCCTAAAGCTGGTGACCGTATTAACATTACTCCTCTTCTGTCCACTATTACCTATCTTATCATGAATGGATAACCTAAAAATGAAGCCCAACTTATTCTTGATTATATTCATGACCTTTCTAAAATTGGACATGTCTCTCATAAAAGGAAGAAGAATATTTCTTTTGGACACCTAGTGACTTATATCCAAGAGAAGAAGTACAATCTTATGCATCATGATCCTCTACTTGAATTGCCTATCTACTTCACTGATGCTTCATTTTAAGCACTTTTTGGGAAAGGTGATAATGCAAGTGAGGATTCTGAGGGAGAAGGGGGAGCACCAGCACCTACACCTACACCTGCACCTGCTCATAGACTTGACTTTCAAGAGATGGTCCAGCACTTTGACCGACTAGAGAGTCATTTTGATCAACATTTTAATCAAATTTATACTCATCTAAATTAGCATGATGCATAGTACCAGCAGGACATGGGTTGGAATTGAGGTTAGTTCGACTCGGTGAACATCAACATGGCTATGATGAATAGCTATCTTTCTGTGTTCAACCAGCCTCCTCCTCCAGACTAGGGCCCCTCAGATTACTAAATGTACTTCTTGTGTGTTGTCTTTGTCAGTTCTTTCAGATGTATTTATCTTTGTGATGTTTACGATGCTCTGTGTACTTGTCTTATTTTAGATCTTTGATGTTGTTATATTATCCTTTTTTGAGATATATGATATTGATATCACATGTGCTTTATTGTATTAGATCTTCATATTAATATTAATAAAAAAATGTTTTTTTTTTTTTTTTTTTTTTTTTTTTTTTTTTGTTTAGTTGATTTTATTCTCTATTTGAAATGTTAGTTTGCCTATATGATAATCTTGACTTAATTGATCTAAAAATGTTATAATATGAACATCAATACAAAAATTAATTTTATTATGAAATCTAATATTTAAAAATATAAGTTAATTTATAACTCGATCAAGTTAAGGCTATCAATCTTATGTTCTTTTATGCATACATAATCTTAATATTATTATTACAATTTTGATGTCTTATTTTTTTATTTCTCTTTTCAATATAATTATCTTTGTATTTAGAGAAGTTTGAGTTTTTAGATTATTGATTTTGGAAAGACCAATTAAAAAAAATTGGAGAAATATACAAGTGTACAAAAATTGAAAGAATGTGCAATGGTTCGCAAATTGAAAAGAGGCACAAAATTAGCCCAAATATAAAAAGAAGCACAAAGTGTGCCATAAATATTTGAAAAGATGAGCAATGTAGCTAAACAAGTGTATTGATAATGTTCCTTTCTCTATCTTTTAATCTTGAAATTCAAATCAATCTAATGTTCAATTATATTTTGTATTGGAAATTGATTTTAATTAATCTTCATTTTATCACTTTTGCAATAATTTTCCTTATCTAATTGTCTAGAATATTTCATGACCTTGATATATTTTTCTTGTCTATGTTATATTTTAATTTAAATGTTTTAAATCTTTATTTTTCTCTAATAGACATTAATCTTATTATTGCAGTTATAATTCAATCTCTTTCATGATCAATTATATCAGGTTTCTCATATGAATTCTTTCATTTCTTTTGTTCTTCTTCTTCCTTCTTTTTGTTGTTATTAAAAAGGGGGAGAAATATTATTTGTTTGTATTTGATTTTTGCATTATTAGTGTTTGTTAGTGATGTCTTATTTTTTTATTTGAAGTGTTTTATGAGTTTAAGAAAAATTAAAAAAAAAATTTGATTTTTTTCTTAAAAGAAATTCCCTTATATTCACATGCTTATTCATTTAGGGGAGTTAAGGAGAAATTTAGGGTATTCAATTTTATTCAAACAATAATTATTTTACCATCATAAAAAAGGAGGAGATTGTTGAGATAGTCGTTACTTAGTTATTGTCTGTTTGATATTCTTGCAACTTGTATGTTTTTTATGATTCCAAATATTATTTCTTTGATTATTATTTCTCCTAACATATTTTGGAAGAATTGTTTTGCTCTTATGTGTATTAATATTTCAGAAAAATCATACTTCGGATTATTGAAGACTTCAAATCAAGATCAGTTTAGAGTTTATTATAATTGAAGTATGTATTTTCCAATTTATTAAGTCTGAGAGAGTGTGATTGCAATTCAGTAACTGAGCACACACACACCGGGGGGAGAGTTTAAAATTCATATTTTTTTAAACTAATTGTATTGTACGATATTCATTCGTACGGGATGATTTGGTCAATTATTTTCTCCGACGATCGTCTTGGACGATCACAGGATCATCCGGGATGATCAGTTAAACAAATCTAAGGTCTTCATGGATGATTCATAATCGGCTTGGCTCCATCCAGGGCGATGTTCAAGCTGATATGTGATGTTTTGTACTAATCATCCCGAACGATCGTGAGATCAACATGGGAAATCTAGTTATTTTTTCATCATCTAAACACCCATCCAGGGCGATATTCTGGACGTTATGTGTCGGTTTGTATTAATCGGCCCAGACGATCAAGTTATTTTTTCATCGTCCAGACATCCATTCAGGGTGAGGGTCTAGACGATATTTGACGACTTGAACTAATCGTACAGGATTATATACTATCGTCCTGGACGATTGAACAAAAGAATCTTCTAATCATCTAGACTGCCAAATCATCCTTGCTGATTGACCTAATTTTAACTAGTCGTACAGTACAATCGGTCGATCGTCCTGGATGATATTTGACGATTAGTTGCAAATTAGGGCAAATTTGGAGCCCTTGTTTAAAAGATCTATTTTTCTCAAGAAGAAATATTTTTCTATTGTCCTGACCTGAGAGAGCCAAGAGGAGAGAGAGAGCAAGGGAGAGAGAGAGAGAGAGAGAGAGAGAGAGAGAGAGAGAGAGAGAGAGAGAGGATCTTATGTTATGAGGGGGAGTTTGTGAGGGGTTTCACAAAGGTTGCTCAAAATAAGGATCCACGTCGTCTTCTCCGGTCATTGTCCCTAGTTCCCTTGGGTTCTAGAGATGTCTACTTCAGCAACTGATCGAGGTTCTCTTCCTGCTTCAGGAGGAAGAAAATGAGTTGGGTTCTTTGTCTGCTTCTGGAGGAAGCAAAATGAGTTGGGTTCTCTGCCTCGCCGGGGTTGGTGGAAAGGAGTTTTTGTACGGGCTTCTCCACCTTGCTGTGGGGGCAAAATGAGAGACTTTGTTTAATGCAATACTCGGAGGAGATGCTCCGGGGAGTGAATGTAGGTCAAGTTGACCACCAAACTACTATAAAATCTGGTGTGTTCTTTCTTATTATACTTCCGCATTTAATTTTCACACTTAAAATTCTAACTAATATAAAATGAGGCACTCTATAGAATAGTTATCGCCATAGCAAGGTAAACAATGCCCAATTAGACGGAGCCCAAGCCTTCCTCTTGCTCCTTTCCTTGCAAAATAAAAGTTTAAGAGGAGCTCCAAGGTAAGAAAATGGCTCAAGTAGGGCTCTAATCAACTTAGTTTAGCCCAACCCAAATCTGATTCATATAGCTACCAAAAAAAAGGTGAAATCAAGACCAATCAACCTAATTCAAATAAATTAAATGACTCAAAATCGAGTCGAGCTAGAGCAAATCCAATTGTTTTACATATTTAAAGGAACGTCTGTGGATTAATTGGAATTTTTTTGTGAACAATACATGCACCCAAAGCACATTAATTTTTTATCAAATGGGACATCCTACCTTAAGGAACAAAACAAAATACTTTCATAAAAAATTTTCTTAAATTTATAATTTTAAAAATCACTAATTTGAGATCTTTAAAAAAAATAGATAGATAAATGAATTCAAAAAAATTTTACTCACCGTATTAACTCTTCAATAGAAATTTCAAGGTTACATGAATCCTGAAATAAAAAACAACTTTCCAATTTTGTATTTGCATTTTACTGTTCAAATTTTTTTAACATTTTAAGCTTTTAATTTGAAATTTTTTTTTTAAAAAAAATTATACACCATTCCAAGCATATTTCCACGCCTTTTTTAGAAGCCATTTGATTATTAATAATTTAAAATTAAATTTTTTTAATGTTTTTAAGTTAAGTCCTACTTAATAAATTCTAAAATTTTGTAAGAAATTTAAGAATGTTTATAGCACCAAAATACTCTTCTCTGAATTTTTTTTATGAGTTGTTGTAACACGATATTTGCAATCTCTGAATAAAAATAAAGATACAAAAATTATCACTTTGCCCCAAGTAAATTCTTGCTCTCCTTGAGGGAAAAAAATTATATTATATACATCTCATATTCAATAAATCTACTTTTGTCTCTTAGCATGGTAGAATACATTTTTGCTTTCATAAAATTACTTAAATGTTTACAATAACTAGCATGAATATCTGTCTAGCACACTCAACTCCAAGCAGAACATTCCGAGCCCAACCATAAATATAGCAAAACTGAGTTGTTTTTCCTTCACCGTAGACGCTTATTCTCCGACTTTAATACGTCTATAAAGGATGAAATTGTGCCCGACGATGAAGCCTTAGACTAGGAATCATAAGCTCTCATCACTTTCATAGTTGTGGAGAAGTGATTGAAGTGCGTTGGTTGTATCGACTTCAGTCTGCTTGCTCTGATCAACTTCTCCATCTTGTGATTGTTTGACCTCAATTTCACACTCACCATTTTGCTGCAGATCATTGGATTGGCCGCTCTCTTTAACCTCAGCACGCCGTTTCTTGGTTTGACACATAGGTGAAGAGCGCGGCTTCAACATAAATTTTGGCCTGACAAATGATGAACTACCTAGATTTTTGCATGCAAACGTTAACAATCCGGAAAAATTAACCATTAAGATGAGAGATGATAAAACAAAGCACTTAATCGCTATAGCAAAGCAGAAGATTTTTTTAAAATGTTAGGTGATTGGTTCAGCAAGGCAGCAAGTGATCCTTGAATCACTACGGTAAAATGGATAAAACAGAGAATGCATATTCGTAAAATGGATAAAACAGAGAACGCATATTTATAGTAGTGTAAAAACCAATTTGACTTGTTTGGTATCATTTTTTCCCTGTTTTTATTTTTCTTTCTATTTTAAATATATATTTGATTACTGTATTATTTATACTTTTTTTTTATTCTGAAAAAAATTAAATACACTAAATAACATATAGATATTTTTTGAGTGTTTCTAAAAGCAAATCATCAATGCCAAAAACCAGTAGTCACCGCTGGTATCACTAGCCATCACTTCTAGCTACCACCTCCTACAATCACCAACCGCCATTTTTGGCCACCGTTCGAAGCCACCAACCGCCACCACTAATAGAAGCCGACTGCCACGATCAATAGACACCAATTGCCCCACCTACGGCAACTGTCAGTCCGCACCTACCACACTACTTCGTAGATGATCGCCGCCATCACCACTAAATCAATTTATTCTTATTCAATAAAATATAAAAATATTTTTAAGATACCAAGCATATTTTATTTCAAATAAAAATAAAAATAAAATAAAATAAAATCCCAAATATCCCCACCCTAACTGATTAAACAACATTATTTTTTGAAGTCACAACAATAAAAGCCAGTAGAGCAAACTTTTTCTCCCAATGACCTTCCCAAAACGCCAACAAAAATAACAAGGAAAAGAAAAAGAAACAAAACATTGACGTAAAGCTTAAACTTAGCATATATTGCACCTTCTGAACCGTTGAGAATGCTTGCTTTAGTCAAAACATCGGTAGGATTATCACATACTTCCTCGAAGCCTTTTCTCTGCAGTAAAAAGTCACAAGAACAATGTACTTCAACATTTAATACAGCATTAGCTTAGAATTCAAAACAACGATCTCTTAAATTTAGGCCCAAAAAGGATTATAATGAAAAATAGTAACAGAAAACACTTATGTTAGCAATAATCGTGAGGAAAGCCCAAGGAAAACTCTAGCAGTAACATTATTCTTAGGAAAATTAAGAAAATTATTGAAGTCCAAGCAAATAACTATTTGGAACTTCTAAGGCTCACACACATAGGAAAACCTATGAAATTAAATCGTTAATTTATTTTTCAAAAAAGCAAACTACAATGAGAGGCTAGAACTGTACATTAGGGGAAAATTTAATGATGAGGTCTCTAGGCATAAAAGAAGGAATATGTAGGCACAAACCCTTCTTATTCCACTTACAAAGGAGCAAGGCGTTCAGCTAAGTCCCATAAAAATAAAGTTTATGCTCGGCTATGATCATGATGACCAGGCTAGCCCCAACATTGGAAAACCATGATGGGCTGAGCAGGCCATAGTGCAATATTTTTTTTCCAAAGTCTGCATGGCAGATTGACAAGGCTTAGTATCAGCCTATTTTATTGAATCAGTGCTGCAATTCATAAAGGATTAGAGGCCAACTAGACAAGCAGAAGTGGGGGTTGGCAAGATGATGCAGGCACCCAGTCGCAACAGGTAGGCACCAGCAATGGATGAGAGCTGAAGTTATTATTATAATTATTTTTTTAAAGCATGATGTTAAGTCTCAAGTCATTGATGAAAAAAGAAGAGGATTGTATTAGGTAGTCGACAGCCAATGTAAAACTTAATGAATAATCATGACATGAATCCTTTTATACATTGTATTAATGCTAAGATGTTCCCTAGAAATGATGTGTTGTATGGACTTAATACAATGACAAGTGTGGAAGGACCGCTGCACCGACGCCCTGGTGCAGTGTCAAATAGGCAAGAGTTCCCACATCATGGACAGATGTGGGCAAAGAAGCTAGTCCATAAACTAAAATTAAAATAAAAACTTGGAATATAGATTCTCTTACAGACAAATTAATTGAATTAATAGATATTATGATTCATAGGAAGATAAATATTCTATGCATTCAAGAAACTAAATGTGTTGGAAAGAACTTAAGGAGATTGAAAGTTTAAAATTTAAACTATGATATTTTGGTATGAGTACTAGAAATAGTGTAAGTGTGATTATAGGTAAGAGTTTGTAAAATAATGTTATAAAAATTAATAGAATTAGAAAAAAAATTATAGCTTTAAAAATTTTTTTTTATGCTAAAATTATTAATATTATAAGGATTTATGCTCCTATAGTTGTTTTGAATATGCGTACAAAATTAAAATTTTGGAATAACTTAGAAGAATTAATACAAAATATACCTCTTGAAGAAATAGTTTTTATTGAAGGAGACTTAAATGAGCATGTTAATAGAGAGGTAGATGATTTTAAAAACATTCTTGGTGGCTATGGATTTAGAACGACTAATGAATGCGGTAAGATCATATTAGATTTTTCTTTAGTTTATGATTTTGTTATTGTTAATACTTTATTTAAGAAAAGAAATGAGCATCTCATCACTTATAAAAATAAATATAGTAAAACTCAAATTGATTATTTTCTTATAAAAAAATAAGAACATTTATATTGCAAATATTGCAAAGTTATTCCGAGTAAAAATTTATGTACACACATCGCTTATTAATTTTGAACTTTAAGATGAAGGGGTAGAAAATAATAAATAAAGCAAAGCGTTGTTCTAAGATTAGATGAGGACATTTAAAAAATGTTAGTAAAAATATTTTTTAGAGTAAGATTTTATATCTTAGGATTTTGTCCATGCATGAGAAAGTTATATGGAAAAAAGTAATTATTGATATTAAGAATGTTGAAAAATATGTTCTTGGTGTATCAAAAGAAAAAATTCCTAATTATAAAAACAGTTTGTGGTGGAATCAAAATGCGTCAGAAAGGATTAAAAAAATTATAAAAATTGATTTAGATGTAAAAATTATGATAATTAGGAAAGATATAAAGAGTCTTGTAAGGAATCTAAAAAGTAATATGTGATGTAAATATTTTAATTTTTAATGATTTATATAATATATTAAATACTAATGAGGGTGATATATATATATATATATATTAACTAAACAAAGAAATAAAAGTAAGGATTTAGTTTGAGTGAAGTGTATTAAGGATGAAGATCAAAAAGTGTTTTTATTATGAGAGGATATTCAACAAAGATAAATGAGATATTTTGCTAAACTTTTTCATGAGGATTGTGAGAATGCGATTGACTTTAGTGACCTTAGCATCATAAATGAAAATAAATATTTTTATTTTTATTAGCGTATTAGTAAAACTGAAGTTAGAGAGGCTTTAAAGAAAATAAAGTATGAAAAAGCTGTTGGACCCGATGATAAATCAATAGAGGTGTGAAAATGCTTAGAAGATGAAGGAATCTCTTAGCTTACTAAACTTTTTAATATTATTTTGAAGACTAAAATGATGAGATATGAGTGGAGAATGAGAGTGTTGATTCTTATTTTTAAGAATAAAGGTGATGTACAATATTATGTGAATTATAGAGGAATTAAGTTAATGGGTCATAGTTCTAAATTATGAGAGAGAGTTATGGAGTTATGGAGCAAAGGTTGTGGCGTAATACTAATGTTTCTCAAAATTAATTTGGATTCCTGTCGGGTAGGTCAATTATAAAAGTATACATTTATTGAGAGGTTTGACGGAGATATGTATTGATTTAGATAAAGCATATGATAAAGTTCCAAGAGAAGTGTTATAGAGAGTTTTAGAAAAGAAAGGGGTTAATAATACTTATATTTAAGTCATTAAAAAAATGTATGCATGAGCTATTACTTGTGATCAAACACAAGGTAGTTTGACCAAGTAGTTTCCTATTTCAATTGGATTATATCAAGGATCAGCATTAAGCCCATATCTTTTTTGCTTTAGTCATGGATGTTCTCATTAGACATTTGCAAGAGGTTGTACCCTAGTGTATGCTTTTTGCTCATGATATTCTTCTTTTTGATAAGACTCGAGAGGGAGTTAAAAGTAAACTTAAATTATGGAGATCAACCCTAGAGTCTAAAGGCTTTCGTTTGAGTAGATTTAAAAGTGAATATATGGAGTGTAATTTTAATAATAATAGATCTAATGGTGACTTGGGCAATCAAGTCATTAATAAGAATACACATTTTAGATATCTTGGGTTTATTGTTTAGAGTGATGAAATAGATGTGGATATTATTAATAGAATTCAAGTTGGATGGTTGAAGTGGAGGAATGCATCGGGCTTGTTGTTTGATAGAAAAGTCCCTCTCAAACTTAAAGGAAAATTCAATAAGATGGGGGTGAGACCTGCAATACTTTATAATGCATAATGTTGGCCATTAAAACAGAAGCATAATATAAAGTTAAGTGTTGCATAGATGAGGATGCTCAGTTGGATGAGTTATTTTACTCTAAAAGACAGGATATGAAATGAGCATATATGTGAAAATGTTGGAGTAGCTTCAATGGAAGATAAGATTAGAGGGAGTCGTCATAGATGATTTGATCACATAAAATGACAGCCTTTTGATGGCTAGATTAGAAAACCAGATGTATTAGATTTGTCTTGTGTTAAAAAAGATAGAGGTAGACCTAAAAAGACTTTGTCAGAAAATATTAGAAATAGCATTTTTTTATTAGGATTAAATGAGAATTTGACTCTTAGTAAGACAATAGAGAAGAAGGATTCATGTAGCTGATCCCACATTGTGGTATAAAGGCTTGATGATAATGTTGTTGTAGTTGTAAGCATGATGTTAAGTGGAATAGAAGAATTGCTTTCAATATGGGGCAACAAGCCAGCATCAACAAGAGCGGCAAGGGATGTTATGGTGGCAGTATGAATGGTAAAGGGAGGTTTGTTGCTTCAGGTCCATTCAAGGGGAAGTAGTGACGAATAACTGCAGGGGCCTATGTTGCATCGATACACCTATTTATGAAAGCGTGTTGTATCTGATACACCGATACACGGATACGCCTCCGATACTCCACCGATACGTGTCAGATACGCCGAAGCCGTATCCAATTAAAATACTATTTAATTTCAAAAGGACACACGTATCCGATACGCGTGTCCGTTGAAAAACAAAAAGAAATCCGGAAAAAAAAGACATGTCGTATTTACTTCCACAGTTGCGAGCAAGATTCTCTCATTTCCGAGATTGATTTGAGTCTCTTGATGAAATGAAAATATTAAAAATTATTAATCTTTCACTTGATGAGCCTGAATTAGAAGCTATGATTTTTATGGAAGATTATATAGAAGTTCAAAGATAAACCAATGAATAAGATAATTATATCATTCCTTCTATTGAATAGTTGAAATTTCATGTGCTAGTTAATTTATGTTTATGCTTTTGTTGTTGTACTAGACATTTAATGCTTACTTATATTTTGATATTATAAGCTACAATGCTACAAATGATGTTGTTGTCATTTTTTTTTTGTAATTTCAAATATTATGCTTTGATTGTTTTCTTAATTTTTATGTATAATTTATAAATTATAATGTTGTGTCTGCGTCGTACCCGTATCCTGTATTTTTAAGAATTGATGTGTCATGTATCCGTATCGTGTCGTATCCGTGTCGCCGTATTCATATCGATGCAACATAGGCGGGGACTGATGCTGAGAGATGAAGGCCCGAGAAGGAGATTCCAAACCAGTGCTGTGATTTCTCAAGCTCGGAAAATTATGGATCGGTTAAGAAAAAAGCTCTAGAGTGATTATCTAATTAAGCCCGCTTCCCTGTTCCGTGACCTTATCAGGTCAGATTGAAAGTTCAAACATGCAGAGCAAAGAACAACAACAACATTGTGTCCTATTAAGAGTCAAATTCTCATCTAAATCTAATAAAAAAAAATCATCTCTAATACTTTTCATAACTCATTTTGACCAAAAAGTCTATTCTGTTGTTTTCGATGATATGTGCTGTTTCCATTTTAAGCATCGTATGAGCGATCTCTGCCCAGATTACAACTGTGTTGGTTGATACAAGCCTGAAATTTTATGATTCTTCCTAAGCTAAACCCAATAATTGTTGCTGAAACCAAACTGTCTATGAAGAAATTCGGTTTTTCAGTTGACAGTTAAAGTTATGAGTTGAAACAAATGATATGTTCCCAAAATACTGTCTCAAGCAAGCCAAGGATAAAATCTGTAGAAGAACACCAACTCAGTTTTGGGTCAGTGGCATCATAGATCAGGAGGAGGTCGTACATATTCAGTCTAGCCTGCCATACCTTAATGATCCATATTAGATAGCCTTCTACCTTGGGCTTGGGCTTCACTAGACCTAGTCCATAATGGTTATGACTCTAGGGGGAAATTTAATCATTATTGTCAAAGGCGCTAGGTGATGTTAAAGAGAGATGGAACTCAATGCCCAAGGTGCTTGGCACTCACGCAAGTGAACATTTGCAACAACAACAACAACATCAAGCCTTTATCCCACTACGTGGGGTCGGCTACATGAATCCTTTTTCTCCATTGTGTCCTATTAAAAGTCAAATTCTCGTTTAAATCTAATAAAGAAAGGTCATTCCTAATATTTTCTAACCAAGTCTTTTTAGGACTACCCCTACCTTTCTTAATATAAGTCAAATCTAATACCTCTACTCTCTTAACTGGGTCGTCGGAAGGCCGCCTTTTTATGTGACCAAACCATCTAAGGTGACTCTCTCTAATCTTATCTTCTATTGGAGCTACTCCAACCTTTTCACGTATATGCTCATTTCGTATCCTATCTCTAAGGGTAAAGCCACTCATCCACCTGAGCATCCTCATCTCTGCCACACTTAACTTAATATTATGCTTCTCTTTTAATGGCCAACATTCGGCACCATAAAGCATTGCAGGCCTCACTATCATCTTATAGAATTTTCCCTTAAGTTTGAGGGGTACATTTCTATCACATAACAAGCCCGATGCATTCCTCCACTTCAACCATCCAACTTGAATTCTGCTGATAATATCCCCATCTATTTCACCATCACTCTGAACAATAGATCCAAGATATCTAAAACGTGTACTCTTATTAATGACTTGATCGCCCAAAGTCACAATCCCCTCACTAGGACTATTACTGCTAAAATTACACTCCATATATTCCGTTTTAGATCTACTCAAGCGAAAACCTTTAGTCTATAATGTTGACCTCCATAATTTAAGTTTACTTTCAACTCCCTCTCTAGTCTTATCAACAAGAAGAATATCATCAGCAAAAAGCATACACCAAGGTACATCATCTTGCAAATGTCTAGTGAGAACATCCATGACTAAAGCAAATAGATATGGGCTTAAGGCTGATCCTTGATGTAACCCAACCGAAATAGGGAAATACTTGGTCAAACCACCTTGTGTTTGAACACAAGTAATAGCTCCTGCATACATATCTTTAATGATTTGAATATAAGCATTATTGACTCCTTTCTTATCAAGAACTCTCCATAGCACTTCTCTTGGAACTTTATCATATGCTTTTTCTAAATCAATAAATATCATATGTAGATCCTCCTTATTTCCTCTATATTTTTCCATCAAACCTCTTAATAAATGTATGGCTTCCATAGTCGACCTACCCGGCATGAATCCAAATTGATTTTGAGAAACATTAGTATCACGCCGCAACCTATGCTCTATAACTCGCTCCCATAATTTTAAAGTATGACACATTAACTTAATACCTCTATAATTCGTGCAATCCTGTGCATCACCTTTATTCTTAAAAATAGGAATTAATACACTCATTCTCCACTCATCTGGCATCTTTTTAGTCTTCAAAATAGTATTAAAAAGTTTAGTAAGCCAAGAAATCCCTTCATCTCCTAAGCATTTCCACACCTCTATTGGAATATCATCAGGTCCAACAGCTTTTCCACCCTTCATTCTATTTAAAGCCTCTCTAACTTCAGTTTTACTAATACGCCGATAAAAACAGAAATCTTTACTTTCATTTAGGGTGCTAAGGTCACTATAGTCAATCTTATTTTCACACTCTTCATTAAAAAGTTTAGCAAAATATCTCATCCACCTTTGTTGAATATCATCTTCTAAGCAAAATGCAGAGCAAAGAACCAAGTCTAAAAATGCAAACATAAAAAAGAATTAAAAGCACAACATATAATAAGCATACCAAATAAATCAATCTAAAGCAGAATACCCTGGTGATTCCAGGTCATAAAAATAGACTTGCAATAGCGTCTTCTTGAAAGGTAAGCCATAAAAAAAAGTATAGACAGAGCAATCAAGGGTTAAAGGTGTTTAAGACCTTCAAGGTGAGAATTGATACTCCATTAGAAGGCAACATTGGTAAATCATCATCTAGATCTTCATCCTCTTCATCATTTATCCGCCTAACAAAATCTTTTGAACCCTGCAGGAAGTGCCTTACATGAAAAGAGATTGCCATGAAAATTGTAACAACACAAAGTATAAAGACAAAAAAAAATCATTACATGAAAAGCTATTGATTTAATAATTTCTTCATCTGCTGCATCCAGTTCTTCCATAATCTTTTTCTCCTGAAATAAAAAAACAACTCTTACAAACCTTTGAAATAAAAAAGCATCTCTTAGAAACCTTAAGCAAAAAGTTAGACGTTGGCAACCAAGTATTCAAAAATGCTATCAAACTGTAGAAGGTACCACCACAAATTCGTCACATGGTTAATCACTAATCGGAGAGCACTATTCAACCACCCAACTCCAATATTACACCCCAAAGCACCATCACTAATATGGTTTAACATGTAACATAAATTGGGCAAATGAATTGGTAAGATTGGAAAGACCATCCAAGTGGATATTGTATTTAAAAACAAACTATTGCCTAGCAACAAGCATATTTTGTGGGGTTGTTTGGTTGAGTAAATTAGCAAAATATTGCATTTCATTTTCCTGTATTTTTTTTAATTTGTACTTAGCAAAAGAAAGACAAAATAAAATTGTAATTTGAATACCCAAAACCTATGTTTTCCATGTATTCTGAAATTGCCCAAATAGGGAGATTTCAGAATACCACTGCGCATCTGCTCTTGCTTTCCGCTTACCATCAAAACTGTTGTCGCCTCACTCGCGCCCTCCCTTGTCCACATTTGAAATGTAACATAACAAACAAACAAAAAAACTTAAAATCATTTGACTTAAAATCATTTGATTTGCATCCAATCAAACAACTAATGTATTTCTAAAAATGCAAACATTTCAGTTCCTATGCATTTCTAGAAAACATGTAATCCGGAACATCCAACCAAACAGTCCAAGCATTTGTACACTCCTCAAGTGTGCATGGAAGACATGCTTGTATGCAGACACATGCATTGATGAATAGAGAGAGAAATAATACACATATTTCATAAAGGTGAGGAATGAAATCCTATGTTTGACTGCATACAAATTGTAATTTAGAAAAAATAGATTGAATTATGACGAGATGCATCTCTGAACAAGCAATACCAACACAAAAAATGAACTTCACATTGAGCACATTTCCACTCAAATCAGCATATTAGCCAGTCAAGATATCTTTGATGTTGTAAATTACTAATTGCATAACAAACCAGTAACACAGAAACAAATATTCAAGCACAAGACAGTCACCTAGCCTTCTACAACTTTGAGATATTAGCTAGTGGTAAATATAGATCTTATAAAGATAAAAAAAGGAAATTGAGAAAATGAAGTATAATTCCAAAGAATTTTTTTTTTTAAAGACAGAAAAATGATGAATATCCAGAAAAGCAGTAAAATCACGTGTGCCAATATTAAGCAAAAAATTCACTAAAATCAGCAAATTCCTTTGTCAAAGTATATTTGAGGTCATATAAAATAAGAAAAATAACGAAATACTGAATTACCAATAGAGAAAGAAATATCCAAGTAGAAATAACCACACTACTCACCTGACCACGAAATAACAATCTGTCAAATAGCCTTCTTCCACACTTTTTTTTAATTGGCTAGATGTAAGCGTTTCCGACAATGCAAAAATTATTAAATTAACTGTGTAGATCAATTGCTAGTCTTTAGAAAAGAGAAATCTTCGTTAAGACTGATTGTTGTTGTGTTCTTTTTTTTTTTTTTTTTTTTTTTTGAGCTTACATAAAAAATGTTAAGATCTCAAGTACCAAGAAGTATATTATTTGGCTTAAAAAGGAGAGTAATTCCACAAATAAAGAAAAGATACACAATGCATGAAGATCCCACTATGCAGGGATTGACAAGAGATTATTGTATGCAACCTTGGTCTTGAGGTACTTTCTATGACTCAATCCTGGAACCTCAAAATTATAATGAAGGCAACTTAAAAACTACTCCAAGCCCATTCTCTAGGATGATTCCACAAATCTTTTGCATAATAGTAGTAGCAGCACATTAGCAAGGGCTTTATCTATAAGAAAATATATGAGAAGCAAAAAGGACCACCAACATAACATGATAGCTTTACAGTTTATCTCTATAGTTTACTTTCATATATATGTTGTCATGTAGACGCTATGAACTTTAATTTATTTATTGTGATTCTTTTAGACATTTGGATTGCAACCCCTAGTCCATAAATATAATTTTAATGAATGTTATGGTTAATGCATGATAAATCTAAAATATTTGACATCCCTGTTATCTCTCTCCCTTTACTACCTCAATCTCCCCTGAGCTATCCAAAACCCTCTCCGACCCCTTAGTCTTCCCTCCCTACAAACTTTCTAGAGAGGATGGGAGCTTGCTGATAGAGTACATAGAAAAATAGTGGTGAATTTGCACTCTAGATTTCAATAATGTTCAACTATTGTTGAACTCCAACAAATTGGTTTTTGCTCCATTATTGATGTTCAACTATCAAGTTAGTCTACTAATGTAGTTTGTAATCGCCCAAGGCATGCCACCTCATTCCACATTGAGCTTCACTATTGTTGAACTCCAACAAATTTTTCACACAGATAAATCCATCGCAAGCAGGTTAGTACTCTATCGGATGTGAAAGAGTTGAAATCAACAAAGAAATGCATGTTAGTTCAACGAAGTTCCAATAGGTACTTTTTAATTCGATTTACTTCAACAAGGAAAGTTATTCTGCAAGAAAGAAATTAAAAGAAAATAAATGTAAAACTACCAGATGCCCATAATCGTCTTCTCAAGTTTTTTAAAAGGTAGCAATCAGGTCATGATAAGGGTATTCACTCTTAGGAGCAGATCCCTCGAAGGACTCATCCAACACCAACAGAGGAACTCTCCCATGGAGAATGCCCACATCCGCCAAGGAGCTCGCCCACCAAAAAATTTCTCACCAAGAAAACAGTTCACCATGCATCTCAAACAGATCCTCACCCTCCAAGCTTGCCAGACTAAGCTACAAGAAAGAGCCAACCCTAGCGACTTCACACTCCAGTCGGCTAATACTAAAAGGGCTTAGGGACTCTTCACCAAGCACCTTGGCTCACCTTTAATGACAAGGTGACCTCATGCCTCATATGCCAATCGCCGACCTAATAAGACAATTAGTCGACTACGCGTCCATCTCCTCTCAGAACTCAGCCACATATGATGAGGAATAGTTGGCAACCCTTTTTTTCCATTGTAAAGGAGGAAGAAGAAGAAGAAGAAAGGACAAGCATTTTTTACCTTCATCTCCTCTCGAAACTCGACCACAGATGATGAGGCATATATGGTGATGAGGAATAGTTGTCAGCCTTTTTCCATTGTAAAGCAAGATCTCTCTCTGGCGACCTTTTTTCCATTATAAAGGAAGAAGTCTCTCTCTTCTTTTTACAAAGTTGAGTATCTCAATAATTTTATAAGTGTTCAAAAGCTCAAAAGATTAAAAGCTTCTATTACTATATTTTGATAAACTTATATTTTGTGGTTCTGTACTTTGAATTAAACTATGCGATACATATATTGCATCTATTTTATTGTTTTCCACTAATATCACTTGTCTTTTAGATATTTTTATTGTATGATGGCCTCATTATTGTTATTTACCTGCTAAAACCCTTAAATTCACTTTTACGCAATTCTTCGTCCGTGAGGCTTACGCCTCACTCCGCCTCGAGGCTTACGCCTCACTCCGCCTCGAGGCTTATGTCTCGCCTCACAGACGAGAAATACCTCGAGGATTATTTACGCAATTTTAAACCTTCATATAAATAATTGCATCTATCGACCATGTGCGCATTGAGGCAGATGGGCTGATTGGCAGTCAAGAAGATTAGCTCTATTTGCAATAAGAAGAGTGGTTCATGAGGACACACTACAAGTAGTGATGGTGAATTATTTACCTTGGATGACTTTATATATGTGTGTGTGTGTGTGTGTGTGTGTGTATATATATATATATTGGTTCATCTCCTCTCAAAACTCAATCACATACTTGCCTTACACCTACTCATCTATCTTGAGCTCGTCCGACGACAACAGCTTGCTAGACCGTTGATTCCATCCCCCTAACAGCCAATCAAGAGGTGACATGTCTGCTAGCCTCTTTTCTTTTTACAAGGTTGTATTCACAATGATTTTATAAGTGCTCAAAAGCTCGAAAAGATTAAAATCCTTCTTTGTTGGGAACGAAAGGGATATAAATAACTGCATCAATCAACCATGTGCACGTTGAGGTGGATGAGTTGATCGACAATCGTGGAGACTGACACTACTAGCAATAAGAGTGTTACAAACATGTTTTTGGATTATGATTTTGAAGATAACAAACAAATCTTGTTTCACTATGACTGCCTTTTTTCTACTGACTTTTCAGGACTCAAAGATCGGACGGAAATCGGAATCAGCTCAAGACTGGGTAGATTAAGATTGCGTCAGTCTGTAATTTTCTTTTTTCTTTCTTTAGTCAATTGTAATTGTTTGAAGTGACTGATGTTAAGTAACCCTACACACACACTTGAGAGATTTAGAACTTGTGTTTTCACTCACATCGTCCCGGACAATATTTATATCGTCCTGGACGATCGAGTTCAAAAAAGAAGATCTAATCAGGATTTCTTAGTTAAGGTAGCCTTAATTAACTGATCGGCCTGAACAATACCTGTATCGGCCAGAACGATATGCTCAATACAGAAAGAAATTGCTGTCATGATCAGTTTAGGTATTCTGTATTTTTGGAAATCGGCCAGGACGATTATTTGATTGGCCTGGACGATATTATATAATTATGCCTAAATTGATCCGACAATCATGGGAGTAATTAAGGATGATTTATACGATCACATTGCCCTGGACGATCGCAAGATCGGCCTGAACGATCCATTCAAAAACCCTTGGTTGCTCCTGGACGATAAATATCGGCCAGTACAAATTCAGGGCGATACACTTGCCGATTTGGATCGGACAGCTCAAATTCAGGGCGATGCTCTGGAGAATTTTTCTCTGATTTGAACTGATCGGACAGGACGATCGTGAGATCGTCCGAGACGATCAAGCAAATTTTCAATCGTCCAGTTTGCATTAAGGGCGTTGCTCTGGCCGATCCTATGAGATTTGTACTGATCGGCCAGGACGATTTAAATATCGTC